ACAGTGGCCAGTACGCAAACTGTTTTTGTACAGCTGGACGAGTTAACGGGACCAACACCGGGAAATGTTTACAGTCCAGTAAATTAGCTCAGGACACATTCAGGCTAAATTTATGTAAAATTATTTGTAAAAAAACAAAGTGTAAAAATACGTCGTGCATTTTGTCCAAGTTAGACTTTTATTTTCTAGTCATGATCTATTTATTGTAGTTTTTGTTGTTGTGTTTGCTTTTTGTATTTTTTTCCACGCTTTTGGTTTGTGTTTCTTTAAATATTAACTCGCAAAAATAAGAATCCTCTGTTTAGAGTCAAAAAGTTGAAACAAAAAATGTTAAATCCACTTAGAGACCATTGTTTCACTATCCCCAGTTAGGACTGTGTGAAATGTGTGTGTATTGGGGGTGTTAATGCGCACAGAAGATATTGTAAAGAATGGCTTCTGAGCTGTGGATGCAGCAGGATTTAAAGGACAATGCAGGGCGCAGTGCTGCTCCTTCCTATCACCTGCTTACTTGAGTCCGGTTGACATTAAATCTTTAGATCTGACACCAGAACGATACACTATTCTGACTGAGATGTTCATTTGACTTTTGTGCGTATAGTGCGTGCACAAGACTAACCTTTTTTCTCTATGTGATCACCGATGCTGTAATTATGCTATCATCAGTTTTGCCAGTTCTTCCATTTTAATATTATATGCTACAGAGCTGGCTGCCTAATTATTAAAGCTCATTACATTTTTTTTCTGATCCCAGCTTTGCAATCAAAAGTATGACAGAATGGATTCATCCAAAAACAATTAATTTTTCGGATGAACCCCAAAAAACGGGCCCCGTCTGATTAATTATAATTCCCTCCTAAAAATTCATGCCCACGATTGTTCCCAAATAAGTAAAGAAAGGGCTTTTTATATTGTTGATTAAATAAATCTTTCGATTGAATGCACAAATAAGAATGCCGCAGGAGAATCCATAATAATGTTGATCATTGCTTTCCTTTAATCGCTGAATTTCAGCGTGTTCGGATGCCTCAGGCAGTGAGGTAGTCTTTGATAAAGGTAACCCCGCCTGCCTCAGGGTGCCTATGATAAATGTACAGACTGACAAGACCGATTTCCTCCCTCTATGATTAAAAGGCTATATATAATATTCAGGTAGAGCCGGGTCCAGTTTATTTATGGGGGCTAAGCCGTGGCCCGGGGAGACTTGGCTCGAGGGCAGAAATCATTCTGGAGCCCGATTTTTTTCCTTTTTTTTCTTAAAAAAAAGAAGAAGAAAAAAAAGAAAGAAAAGAAAACAGAAACAGAAATCCTTCCACCTTCCCCCCGCCCCGGGCACAAAGTCTTTATTCGTCTCCTTTTCTCTAATGATTAAACATGTCATGGCGAGATTATAGCGAGGCGCCCATGCCCCGAGGAGATGCCTTCATTTGTTAAACCACCAGTTTATTTGTAACGGTGAATTTCATGCCACGCTTTCCCATTCGCCTTAATCTTTTTCTATGTAAGACAAATTGCTAAAAGGGGGTTTATTATTTTTTAATCACTTCCCATTTCAACATCGCTCTGACACCGGCAGGGAGGAGGGAGAATAGTTAGAAATCTCCAAGGCTTCTTCACATAAATCCAAAGTGACAATTTGTAAAGCCTCGAACAATATTATTGTCAAATAAACAATTAAACAAATAAATAAACAAAAATAAAATAAATAAATAAGTAAATCATCCTCTCCACGAAAACTTGATCTGGCCCGCTGTAGATGGCACAAGTACAGACAACTTGTCCTCCTTGTTAAGCAGCTAGTGTGCGAGAGCAGTAATAACGTTAACAGCTGTTGACATCTGTAGAGCTCTAGCGGTCTCTACCGGCAAAATTAAGAAACAACAGGGGGTGCTTACAATTAGGCAACTTATGATTGCCAGTATCGGTGCTCATAGGTGCACAGAAAAGAAACATTTGATCATACGAGGACCAAACGCAGGATTTCTGACAGGTAAAGCACAGAGATGTTATCTTCGAGCACAGAATTTGGCTCGGCTTTGGTGTAACTTTGTGAGCGCATCATTTGTGGAAGCTTTTTTAAAAAAAATTTAATAAAATTTTTTGCATTATTGGGGTCAATGTGTGCGCCTTTTGTTGACTCTTGGACAAGAACATCTGTCGTATTAAAATATTTTCTTTAATTTTACTCTTAGTCATCTCCAGATGACACCTCAATTCTCCCGATTGAGCAATTGAGTGTGAAGGTGAAGGCCTCTTTCTCTAAGTGTCACGCAATGATAATGCTGAAAAGAGCACAGTCTGCCCAAGTGAACGCGTAATGATCACCAGCTACTGTAGGCTGAAAACACACAGGCCTGGCTGCATCATTCTTGTATTTAAAACACATTAAGATCAGCGTTTTATTAATTTAAAGACCAAAGTGCGCGCTCACGTGCATGCAGTAACAGAAAATAAGCAGCGTCTATTAAGCTGTAACAAGAGAAAATACTGTATAAACTGC